AAAATAATAAAGTAATAAATATATATATATATATATATATATTAAATAACTAAGAAACCAGTTACTATTATGTAATAAATTGGCGTATTTATAAATTTAACTATCACTCTTGTTTATTCGCAATTAGGGTAAATAAATCAAAATAATCAATCCTATATATTGTATATGATATCTAATTAAATTCAAATGATATAAACATAGTAATATAGCACACTTTTAATATGGATATTTATTAAATAAGGTTTCTACTCATAAGATTTTATGATTATTTGCATATTTATGTAACAAAATTTTACACCAACGAATTTTTTTAATGTGAGATGTTTAGTAGTATCAATAATTTATAATCATTTTTTAAAAAATAATGACATATTTCAAAATTAAAATATTAACTTTTCAATATATGTTCAATGCAAATATCAAAATATAAGTATGTATTTTCATACGATGTATAGTTTAATTTAAACGATACAAAATATATATAAACTAAAATTATTTCTTCATATGGTCTTATAATCATTATATTTTAATATATAAAAAATTAAAACCTTGATCCTCAAAGTTTATGTGAGATTTTAAACAGTTTTACTAATTTATACTCATTTTGAAAAAAAATCGAAATACAACATTCACAAAAAAAAATCTAGATTTTTATTATATGATTAATGTAATTGTGTAATTTATTTTAAAAAATAAAGAAATAAACAAAATAATAAAAAGTATACAGATTGTTATCAAATCTTTATTGTTTAAAATAATTAATTGTCATATATATATATATATATATATATTTTAATCACATTAGATAATTTCGTAGGTTTTATTTAAGGAAAGCCTGCAAAACAATAGATATTTGATATATGCGATCAAAATATTATATTGGTAGAAAATATAATTTTTAGGCTATACATTATATTACATGCTAGAATTCTTCTAAACTGAAATAGAAAACAAAGAACTCTGGCACATAGGATAGAGATTATTTTTAATTATTACAAACTTAAAGTTACAACTTTTTAAATAATTCTCTTATACGTACATATTAATAACTTATCCTCCATTCCATAATTGTTTCAGGCCAGAGAAATCTCAGCGGACTCTGCTCTGTTGTGTTGATGGCTGAATGATGGAACCATTTGGGAGATATTGTCCAAAGCTAGAAGCTTTTGACATCTCAAATCAAGCGTCATTAAAAAAACTACGGACGGTTGCAGATCTTTGAGCTCCGTTAAATTTACAAATAACCGATTTAGGTTTGCTCAAGTCCCACATTTTGAAAAAAAAAAAAAGTCCCACATTTTGTTTATTTTCTTACGTAACTTTTGTAGATTGTTAATTAGGAATAACACTCTGTGGGCTTCCTTTGACAGTGATGCAGCTATTGCCACGGTTCTGAAGTCTGTGGTGATTTTCTTAACCAATTCTGCCTATACACAGAGTACTTTTGAGCTACTTGCATATATTTCAAAGTGTTTAAGAACTAATACTAACAAGAATTGAATTTTATTTAAGCCAAATTACAAAAAGGAATTGAATTTTACCCCAACAAAAACTCTGCCTAGACAATGTCCAAGATGTGTGTGTGTTTAAACCAAAGTCGCACCCCTTTATAAGCTGATTTCTCCAAAGTGTTAGAGATGTTGTATTTTTAACAGGTTGGTCAAGATACTGTTTTTACCAATAATTGAAATAGGTTTGCATTATTTGGACCTCTTATGGTGTCAGAAAACGGATCTTGAGTTTCTGCTCGTTACTTAAATCAGCTTAAGCTACTTGTATGGATGCAGGTATGACATAGTACAGAAGCCTGCACTAAAACTTACAGTGGCTTTTTAAAAAATTGTTGAACTCAACCTTCAGATGATCTGTGTAAAGTACTTAAATTGGCTGTATAATCCTTGTCGGTGAGGGATGAATTTCTTGAAGAACTTTCAAGATCGTTGGATCGAAAATGACTTCAGTTTTTGCCCATCCTGTTGACTCTTTACTCAAGTGTAGATGACAAGTTTTGCCCCCAAAAAAAAGTGTAGACAAGTTCTTCTGATGAGTAGACAAGTTTTGCCCATGTATATCACTGAAGTCATGAACCATGTTTTATTACTAGATTTTATACTCGCGCTACGCGCGAGTCTGTTTTAATAATTTAGTTTAATTAAAATAACTTAAAACTAAAATATTAATTGAGTAATATAATTTTCTTATTTAAAATATAATCTTTAATTTAGTATTTATGTTTTCTTATAATTATGTTATCTTATTAGCTATTTAGTTATTTGTATTTGTAAATATAATA